GCGCTCCTCTCGGTGCCTCCTCGCCAGGAGCCGGGGCTGCCCAGCACCCCCTGAGCTGTGGGAAGCGCTCTGTGCAGAGGTTCCTGGCCTGGCCGCTCCGTGCCTGGCGCGGGCTGGGATCAAGGGACAAAGTGGCCCTGGCTGCCTGTCCGATGGCAAATGCCACTGGAATGCTACTGATCTAAACTCTGAGCTCTGCAAGCCGGTGTTAATGGGTATTAGTGGATATTTACCCTCTGGTACCACCACCAAACACAGAACTCCACCTCCCTAACAGTGGCAACTGCATTTCAGATCATAGAATTTGTGAGCCTGATGCTCTGAAACTGTGTGTGACCCTCTGGGCCTCTGCAGTTTTAGTGACGGTCAGTGAGGCTGGGGACAGTGCCCGCCCTGCACAGCCTCCTGAGTGGCTTCACTGTGCCCTCCACACTTCCCTTCTCTCTGCTGAAGCATTTCATTTCCTCTGCAGGAGAACCTGTGCAAATTGCAATGAGTCTGGACATTGCAAGTATTTCTAGTATATCTGAGAGTGACATGGTAAGTGAAAAAAACCCTTTTATTTTACAAGATAAGATTGAGATATGCCTGAGAGACTTCACATGTATTCCTGTGTGTCCAGCACAGAAATGGTCATCTTGAAACTGCTTTGCTGTTGGGGGCTGTTGACCACTTTCAGCAGTGGGATGAAAACAGAGCTCATTTATGACTGCAGACTATTGTCCTGGTTTAGGGCAAATATGGGAGGAAACTCCCAAAAGGGTTCCTCTAGAAAGCAGATTCAAGTGGCCGCTCCCTCAACCGGTTCACAAAAATATTTCCTTGGAGATAAGTGGAAAAATCTGGTTATTTAACAAGCAAAGTATACACAAGCATTAAAAAATAATAATATTAAACAATAAAACCTCTTGCTGTTCTGAAGAGATGGCAAATTCAGAAAGTCCTTTTCATGGGCTGTAGCTTGGCTCATCAGTCTGTTATCAGTCCCTTCCATGCTGGAATGCCGTGTTCTGGACCCAGTGGGTCAAAGGCATGAGCTCCTGGTGTTTTTGTGGGTTTTCAGTCTAGAGCGGATTCAAACAGTTCCAAGAAAAAGAATAAAAAACACAGTTTGGGGAACTTCTCTGCATCTGCTTGCTAAAAACTAATTAAAAGCAAAGGAGAGCTCTGTCCCACTGTCTGTGCTGCAGACAACCCAGTCTGTGAGAAGGAATGTGGGGGAGCAAGTGCAGTTTCTGAAAACAAACTGCACACTTCTTTTCCCCTGCTTCACTTTCAGAAGCAGTTTTAAAGGTGCAGAACTTAATATCCAGCATAAACAGAGCAGACAATTAGGAATACAAACATCTTAACATCACCCTAAGACAACTGTGTAGATGCCATAGTAATGTGGGCTTACAAGAAAAAAGAAGTGGTTCCAAAAGTCCTACAGGTCAAAAACTCAGCACCTTCTGGAAATCAGACCCCGTGGAAGTAGAAAAAATCAATCCTGTGTGGCATCCCTTGTGAGAAGGAAGTTGAATGGTCCACCACTGCCTGTGGTGTCCAGAAGGCTCAGCAAAGCATCAGCTTCAGAGCCAAGTGGTGCTGCTCGGGGGCAGGCCAAACTCCAGTTAATCCCAGTGTTCTTAGATTCAAAATTCCTGTTAAAATAGAAGGCGCAAGTTTTCTTTTTTGACTTGTTTGGGGTGTTTTTAAGATGTCCCTGACATTACAGGTTGGATTCACTTACCTTTTTTCCCCAAAGTGCCAATGCCTCCTTGATGACCAGATTTATAGTACGTGTGGAGTTTCCTAGCTCTAGGCAATGACTGATCTGTAATGTCAATGGCTTGTGGGGTGGTCTCAAGTGTGTGCTTCCTATCTGTTCTCTGCAAAATGGGCACAAAGGCATCAGTTATAAAAACTGCCCATTAAAAACATGAAGTACTGTAATTATAATCTTTAGCCCTCAAACTCCACACCTTAGAGTGGAAATGTATTAGAAATATTACAGAGTGAATAAAACTGTGACAAAAGTGAAACTTGAAGCTTGAAGCCTGGCTGTGCTAGGTTGAATAAGGATGTGTTCTGTGCCCTGTCACACACTGGTGTGCCCAGCTGTGCCGTGCAGGTGCCTGGACACACATGCCAGGCTCTGCTCTGTTCCGCAGGATTTCACAGCCACCATCTCCCTGCGGCAGCGCTGGACGGACCCGCGGCTGGTGTTCCACGGCAACAGGAGCTTCACGCTGGATGCTCGCCTGGTGGAGCTGCTCTGGGTGCCAGATACCTACATTGTGGAGTCAAAGAGGTCTTTCCTGCACGACGTCACTGTGGGCAACCGCCTCGTCAGGCTGTTCTCTAATGGCACTGTCTTGTATGCCTTAAGGTACAGAGACCTCCAGCTTTGCTGCTGCTGGCTCAGAATAGATTTCCAGAATTACCCTGGACAGGAGCAGGTACCAGCTGTCACAGGTCATGAGTTTGGGGTCAACAAGTCAGCTGTGCGTATTCTCTGCTGATGCATTTCCCCCTGTTCTGGCTTCCAGAAATGCCAGTCAAGGATCAGGGTCTCCCATCACGGTATATGCTGTATCCTGCGGCCTGCTCAGAAAGCTCATGAGTTTAGGTGTCACCGAGGAAAAATCCAGCCAGATGGAGGCATGGGAGGAATGGAAGGAGGACGTCACAAAGTATAAGTTCAACTGATAGTGGGAAACCATTTGCTTATCCAGTGATGACTTCTGGTTTTTTACCAAGAAGTGTATTTGTCCATGAACTGCAAGAAGGCACCCAGCACTTGAGTTAGCAATTCCTACAGTGCTCTCCTTAGCTTGCATTAACTGAGTCCCAGTTACCTCAGCTACAGAGCAAAACTCACCTACCTCCACATCAGAGAAAGCCAGAGTACGTGTGCAGTTAGTCACTGCACCTCAAGTCGCAAGTACTGACTCCTTAAGGTGAGCAAATTGTAGCAATGGGGAAAAAAATGTGACTCTGCACCCTATGTCCCACCAGATCAAAGCAAAATTCCTCCTTGGGCTACATTTTCATTGGGGTGACTGCAGAGAGCGATTGTTCTTGAGGGTTCTCAGTTAATTGTTCAGGGTTCTCAGTGATTGTTCTTGAGGGTTCTCTTCATATCATACGTCCAAATAATCTAACTGACAGAGCAGAGCTTTGTGATCCAGTTTGCTGTGTAAAACATGCTTTTATTGCAATTTTCAGAGTTCTTTCTCTCCCTACAGAATCACTACTACTGTTGCCTGTAACATGGACCTGTCAAAATACCCTATGGACACCCAAACATGCCGACTGCAGCTAGAAAGCTGTAAGTATCATGTTTTAGAAAACTCTAATTTTTTTTATTCATAAGTAACTACACATCTTGAATATTTGGATTAAGCATGGCGACTTTCTGGAGTAGATTTTTATTCCTGCAAATTATAATGTCCAAAAGAAAACAACTTCTGTGTCATCATTCTTCAAAGGTTTGTGTTGTAATCCACAGCCCAGAAAATTCCTGTCACTGTGCAATCTATGCAAAAAAGTGGTAATAAAGAATATTTATTAAAGTGTAGATAATTAAATCTTGCACAGAAAGGATGAAGTAATGTTGGCTGGTTTTCAAAATTCAGATTCTTTTGAACACACAGCTTCTTCAAAACTAACTTGCAAGGTAAGTACCTGTGACAGAGTACAAGAAGGAAAAATTCTGACATCTTTAGGTAGCTAATACCTGTTGCAGCGCCAACATCCCCACTGTAAAAGGACATGGAGAAGGGTGGTTCTCACTAGAATTAGAGTTGAATGTGGCTCTCAAACTCCTGAGCTGAAATCAGGGCCAAACCCCGGGGTGTGTGATACCTGCCCCCCACGAGGGAGGGGCTACAGAGGATGGGACCCTTGTCAACAGAAGAGTGTTAGACTGAGAAATCTCAAGAAGAGGAATTATCAGTGAGTTCTGCTCTCAGTTAGATTAAAAGCTCACCTGAGGCAATGCTGGCTGAGAAAGACTCCAAGGCAATGCGTGCCACTGCAGGGTTGCTGTCCCAAAGCTCATCCAGTGCACTGCTGCTGCTCCAGACCTGTGATGAGCATGCAGCTCCTGCTGCACGACACAAAACCAAACTTCCACCATCTCAGCATGGAAAATACCAGTTTTTTCACTTCTGAGGTTGCAGCATAAAGCATCTAGGGAAGAACATATTATTTTCACATTAAAATCATATTAGTTCACCATGGTTAACTTTATTACAAGGAATAGCTCCTGAAATAATAATGATTGGCCTCTTCTGCTAAAGTGGAGCATGTTTAGTCCTGGTTTAAAACTGATTGGGTCCTACATCATGCTCAGTTGCTGTATAATTCCAATGAAATTACATACATATTGCCCACTGGAGATTTCATTAGGATAAGTGCCCAGAAATAATGCTATTTAAATATACGCCAGATGAATTAACAACAATCTATCACTTATAAAATTTTCCTGATTAACCACGATTTATAAAACCACTTAGGAACTTTGAAAAGTCACATGCTTAGGATTCTACTCAGGGATTCATGCTCTGGACACCTAATTTAGGAGTTCATCACGCCCAAGCTCTGGTAATTTGTGTCTAATAAGAAAACACAATTAGATGTAAATAGAGCTGCAACTTCATCTGATTCCTTCTACCAGGACAAATGGTTTATTATCAGAATCACAGCAACCCTACTCATGGTCTCAAAGAAGGGCTCTTAATAAAAGAATTAAATCAGTGAAACTGATGGACTTGTTTCCTAAATTAAGTCAAATTTTTGAAGGGAATGGCAGGCTGGCAACTCAGTACAAGATATACCCCTCAGACTGAGGTATCCCTCAGTCTAACGTGAGGTTATGTCATCCCTGGAGGTACACACTCAGATGGCATATATGGAGTCCCACTGCTTTGAGGCAGGAATTTGGTGTTACCTAAATGTTGTGTGCATTTATTTGTCCTCAGTAACTTAATGCCTTTGAGGATATGAGGAATGATGTGTAGAAAAGGTTGTTTTTATGTGCAGGTTTCCTGGACAATGTGTACCCAGTCAGAGGAGCCTGGTTCATAACCACAGAGCAGTCTCAGCTGTAAGCTCCTGACTAACTGAAAATGCATTTTCTGATGTTTTGAAGCACTTGAATAGATGACTCAGTGAAATGTGCTTCTACTCTGTGGTAAGGGGCTCAGTGAGATCTGAATTCTCTTTCTTAACCACTGTGTTTCTCCTGCTCTCCTCAGACACCAGAGAGAGAGTCTGTGTTTGAGGGTTAACCACGGCAGTACTAATGTCCCATTGTATGTAATCAAGCTGTGCATGACAGCAATGGATTATCTCTGAAAACATGAATAGCCCATGTAAACAGCTGCAGCAGGCTCTCAGCAGCCTTGCACGCTGTGTGCCATTCCCAGAGGGCTGTTCCTGTCCACATGTGGAGCAGCAGACCAAGGGCAGCGAAGGAAGCACACGTGTCCCCACGTGGTCAGACACAGCTCAGGGGCCTCTGTGCAGTGTGCAGTGCCAGGATCAGGGCTCTGCTCCCCACAGGAAGCAGAGCAGGCACACTGGGCTCTCCTGGCCTCAGCAATCACACAGGGTCTGTGTTCTCCTCAGGGGGCTACGATGAGAACGATGTCACCTTCACCTGGCTGAGGGGGAACAGCTCCGTGCACGGCCTGGAGAAGCTGCGGCTCTCCCAGTACACGGTGCAGCGCTACCACACCCTGGTCTCCAGGTCACAGCAGGAGACAGGTAAAGCTGGGAGAGCAAAAAGCACTGAAAGCTCTTGGCTATTCCCCCTCCCATCTCCTCTCCTTCTGTGGGCCAGGATCGTTTGACTCAGTCCTGAACCAGTAAAGCCTTTAGCAGATCTTAATCTCACAAAAAGAGATGAACTGAAAGGTGGTGTCATCCTATTAGTTGCAGTCAGGATATTCTGTAAGATGGAAATCCACAGAAAGATGGAAGTTTAAAATATAATGTATTCATTTGATGGATTTTAATTTCTTTTCCTTCTTCCTATTTTCTTCCACACATACCTGAAGAAACTCTATCCCTTTTATCCAGGTATGCAGTGTATAGGTACTGTGGAAAGCAATGTTTACAGTAACTAGGAGTAAAATTAATTGTTAAAATGTACATTTGTTTGTAAATTACAATTCTATCACGATGGAATAACATATTTTTGTAGATCAGAATTCAATGTCTTTTTCATTATCAGTGTAAAATACTCTTTTCTCCAATTACAGATAGTATGAAAGGAGGCAAGTCTTCCTTAGAATGACAAGGTTTTAAAAATAACAGTGTTTTGTTGTTTTGTTGCATACACAGCCATGAACAACATGGACTTTGTTTCTACCCTTCAAAGGGAATTGTTGTTTATAGAATTGAAATACATCCTGAAAACAGTACTGATCTAGCCTCAGAACCCTTATGTCAGTATTTACAACAAATTGGTTTTTAAAAGATGGAGAGCTCAAAAATACACCATTATCACAAATCACTAATGAAAATGGGAGTCTGATTCTCTGTGATGATAAGGCACAGACGTGCTTTGGGATGTGAGCCCGAGCCTGCTGACATCAAGAGACAACGTTTTGTCTGTTTTTCAGCCATCAGGTAAGGCTGAGCCTGGCTGTGCCCTTCAGAGCAGGTGCTGGGGATGGTGCTGTGCTGAGTGTGAGAGTGGGTGAGATCATCAGCCCTGCTCTGCTCGGAGCTGAGGCCCTGTTGTGACATTCCTGTCATGCTCAGGGACAGGAACCCTTTGCAAGGCAGCTGCTGCTCAGATGGAGTTGTTCAGATGCCTCTTTGTCAGTGCTGTGTGTGTCCTCCCGTGTCAGGTGTGTTACCTGCATAAGCTCTGCTGAGCTCCATCAGCTGGTGCTGGTGCTGGGCTGTCCCAGTTTTACTTCAGGGATCCTTGGGAACCTCACATTCACCAGTCTGTTCTTTCATAAACAGGCAGTTACCCACGACTGATACTACAGTTTGAACTGAGAAGAAATGTCCTTTACTTCATATTGGAGACCTATGTGCCCTCCACTTTGCTTGTCATGTTGTCCTGGGTTTCTTTTTGGATCACACTGGACTCAGTGCCTGCAAGAACCTGCATTGGTGAGTTCTTGCCTGAAGAAGGGAGAAGATTTAAGCAGACAGAGGAGCCTTTGAAGGCTGGGTAGATGGCACTTTTCTTGAGCTACCTGCTCAGGGATAAATGGTCTGCTCGCCTCTGCTGTTGTTTGGGGCAGAGCTGAGTTGGGGTGGAGGAGATGCTGTGGCAGGGACACGTGCCCACCTGCAGGGCTGCGTGTGGCTGCAGCTCTCAGGAGATCCATTGCAGAGTAGAGGACAGGGCACAGGTAGTGTGTTCTGGAGAAAGCAGGATGGAGGGATTTCTTTACTGAAAGCATGAAAAACAAGAGAGCCAACTGCCTGTTGGAGCCAAGCTCCCAAAGGCAGGGAGAGCCTGTGTGAAGCTAGTGAATGCTGCTATTTCAGTTGCTATGATGGATGATTTGGATTTGGTAAGAAGTGATGTGCTTTAACTGGCCAGCAATGGAGAGCAATGACATGAACAGAAGGGTAGGCCAAGACTTCTCCAAAGTGTCCACAAGAAAAGTGTCTCTCTGTTTCCAAGGAGTTACAACAGTGCTTTCTATGACAACTCTGATGATCGGCTCACGAAGTTCACTTTCAAAAACCAACTGTTTCATTAAGGCCATTGATGTTTATCTTGGCATCTGCTTCAGCTTCATCTTTGGTGCCCTTGTGGAATATGCAGTGGCTCACTACAGCTCCTCACAGAAATGTGCAGCTAAAGTCCCAGAAGAGGTAAGGCCCGATGTAGCTTAGTGAGGCCAGCGGTCTTGGACTGGCAACAATTAGTTCTCCATTAAGTGAACAAGACACGTGGTCTTCTTGCTATGGATACATCAACAATGCTTCTCCTAACGGGCACTAAATCTAAACTTCTGTGTGTAACAAATACATGAATAGCACAGGAATGCTGTGTCTCTGGCAGACTTGTGAGCAGCAGCCTTAGATGGCAGTCCTGTTGGGTTCACAGGACCACATCCAGAAAGCCAGAAAGGCCCTTGGGCCAGGCACTGGAGTGGGTCCACAGCCCTGAGTTGAGCTCATGTGAGCAGGAAGCACCGCTGCTCCTTCCAAATGCACTCAGAGAAGAGCCAGTATAACACAACTCTTCAATCTCTATCAAATAACTCCAATAAGGGAGGTACCTCCCTCTGCCAGAAGAAAACTGAACCCTTCTTCCTCCTTTCCCAGAAGACGCTTCCAAACATCTGTCCCACAGTGTTCTGTGGGGACTGTGAGAGTGAGTTGTTCAAGGGCCCAACTTTAGTGTGAGAAATTAAATAATCAGGTATGACTGTAGTCCAGTTGACATCAAGGGCCCAAATCCTTTTGGAAAAAAGGAGGTTTCCCACTGCAATACTGAGTTCCCAGCCATTAAGCTGCTGTGTAGACAGTAAGAGATGGATATCCTGTAGGAGATGGATGTTGGATTACCCAGAGTAAACTTGCTCAAGGATCTGAAAATATCTCTAGAATACAGTGGTGGAAGCTGGCATCTCTTGGACCTCAGGCCCTCCTAGGATTAGGCAGCAGCTGAAGGTTGTGTTTGAGTATTGGGATGACCACATATGAAGCTGTACTCTTATGTCTTTATCCTTATGGTCTTCCTCCTCTGCAGGAAAAGACAGACCTTAAAACTGTCCACTCTTGTTTCCTAGGGGCCTGCAAATGAAGTGACTGAAGAAATGGAAGAAGTTAACATCACCAACATCCTCAAAAATTCCATCACCAGCTATAAACAAAAAATCAGCTTCACAAGCATTGAGATTTCCAGTGATAATGTTAACTGCAGTGACTTGACCATGAAAAATCATGAGAAAATCAAATGTGTCTTGAGGAACAAAATGCACAGGATCATTGGTTATTTCACAATTCAGAACCCTGGCAATGTGGACCACTACTCCAAATTGCTTTTCCCTTTGTTTTTCATGGTGGTCAATGTGTTTTACTGGGCTTATTATCTATATTTTTAGTAGAAATTAGTTGCTTCATTCTCCTACTTCAGCAGAAGAGGAATTGTGCCAGTGGGCATCCAGGTACCTAACCTCAGTGAATTCAATGTGGACAAAAAGCTTCCTTGTGTTTCCTGAGGTACCCAGCAGAAGTGTGTGAGGTGTGCATGCATCAGCAGCACTGACTCTGACAGCAGCTCTTCAGCTGAGTGGCTGTGCTGGGCTCTTCTGCTCATAGCTGCATTTCATACCACACCTCACCAGGCTGGAGATGGGTGTGCAGGACTGCACTGCAGCTGCAGAGCACTACAGGTGGCAGAATTATTTTGGTAGCTTGGAGCAGGTTGGAACCTTCAAGATGAGATGTCCCAGAGGATGAATAGGATCATGACTGTTGTTCTTTGTTTGCCAGAGAGAACAGAGGGACTGTGATTGCCTCCTCAATAGCTGCTCTGTTGCAGTGAGAGCCCTGAGGCAGCAGCAGGAGCTCAGTGCAGTGCAGCACAGTGGGATGCTTCTGTGCATGGTGCTGCTCTGTCCTGGATGGTGCAGTGCCAGGATGGTGATTCAGTACTGCACAGTGGTGCCTCACTGCTTTTAACCTGTAACTCACTGAGGTAACCCTCACTTGCTGAAGTTGAGACATATGGAGGGTTGTTGTTTGCCGAGCTGCATTTTTTCAGAGATCTGGAAACATGAAATAGAGGCAACAAAATAATTTTGTAACCCATCTCTTATACTCTTCCTGCTGCACTGCATGTGAACAGATTCTACCACTTTCCACGTCTTCCTCACAAATTATTTTCTGTCTTGGAGAATCCTTCAGCCTTCACTGCTACAAGCAGCTCTCACTCCTTGGCAGCCACAGGCACAAGCAGCCATTTGTCATCCCCTCCTTTACATGGCTGTGCAGCTGTGGCAAGCCAGCAGTGCTGCTGGGTGTGAAACGTGCATGGGTTTGGGGCAGACTCGTCTAAATCACCCTTTCACTCTCTCACTTTCAATTTTAGGCTGAAACACTGATACTTTTTTGAGAAAAATCATATTCTAAGTGGGCTCTGGAAACTACCTGAAGTCAGCTTTATTTATCCTGCAATCAGCAGAAGCCAAAGTTTTCTTTTGAAGACAAATGAAATGCGGCCACACAGTTACATTAAAGAACCAAATGCTATTTGGTACTGTGTAGCTTAAGAATACTGGAAGTCTTTATTTGCTGTTTGTAAAATGAATGTTTCATGGCAGACTCCCCGACCTGGCACCCTTTTTTGGTCTGTGCTGCTCTCATCCCTGAGAGGGGGCAATGCTGCAGTTCTGTGGGCAGAGTTGGGACTGCCTGCAGTGGCTCCACTCAGCAGAGCTCTGGCTGGGTGAGGCCTCTCAGTTTGTAGCTTGTGTTAGAGCCTCAGCATACAGTGTTTGCTTAGCTTAAGGATCTCTTCTTGGGGGTTCCTAGAGAAGGTGAACAGAGCACATGAGACTATAGATTTTTTACTTTAATAACTTTTATTGAACCACTTCACCACGCTGTACTTTGAGAGGTCTAACCCACCTATTCATAAATCATCACTTTAACAAAGAGCAGCACAAGAAGACAGAGGGGAACAGGCTGACAATGGCAAGTGAATAAACACAAACTCCAATAATGAAGTGTTGGCTTGTATATACTGGCATTTGAAGTCCATTCCATAAAATGTAATAAAGTGAATGTTTGTGATATGAACACAACCCCTCAGAGAGATTCTCTACCAAAAGAAAAAATCATCTCTTCTCTCTCTTGGTTTCTTTCTTTAAAACCCAACTAAAATGTCCTCATGTGTTTTACACTAGTCACCAAATATTAATGTTAACAAAAGGAATTTAATTGTACAAAGCCCTCCAAGATGATCGAGTCCAGCTGTTCCCCCAGCCCTGCCAAGGCCACCACTAGCCCCTGTTCCTAAGTGCCACATCCACATGGCTTCTAAATCCCTCCAGGGATGGGTACTCCACCCCTGCCCTGGGCAGTCTGTTCCAATGCCACCACCTTTCCGTGAAGAAATTTTCTATAAATTCCACCCTGAGCCTGCCCTGGCCCAGCCTGAGGCTGTTCCCTCTGCTCCTGTCCCTGTTCCCTGGAGCACAGCCCGACCCCCCGGCTGTCCCCTCCTGGCAGGAGCTGTGCAGAGCCACAAGGGCCCCCTGAGCCTCCTTTGCTCCAGGCTGAGCCCCTGCCCAGCTCCCTCAGCCTCTCCTGGGGCTCCAGCCCCTGCCCAGCTCCCTCAGCCCCTCCTCACATGACGTATGCTACAGACCCTGTTGCAGAAAGGCCTTCTCCAACCTGAACAATCCCTGATTTCAGCAGGTGGCTACTCTCAGGCTTTGCTTTCATTTGCCACAACTTTTGTTATGACTTTGCTGGTGCCAGGGGTGGATCCTATTTCCCTCAAGAGACAGGAGTAGTTTATACAACATCCATGTGCAGCAGAGACAAGGTGAGAGAATGTTGCTTATATCACAGCTTGGATTCTGGTTGCTTTCCCAGAGGAAGACCAAGATAGAATATCTCTGCATTCACTGTCATGGGGAAGACTCAGTACTGCTGTGAGAGAAAGCAGGAGCATCTGAAGGAGCATCCCCCAAATTCCCTCTCTGTGCCTGATTTCCTGGCTGGTTTAGGGACAGATAGTTTTTGCTAATGTTACTTTGCATTATAAAGTTTCCTTTGCTTTGGAAAATATTAACTTTGCTCCATAGACAGACAGGCCCTACAGTTATAGCTGGAATATCCTAAATATTTAGTTCCCAGTAATAATAGGCTAAACTACAGCACCACTAGAGGCAAAACCTACATTATTTAAAATGACACTTCTCACAAATATCCAGTTATGAGGTAATTTTATATCAGCTGCTCTTATATAAATTGGAAAAGGCAAACTGTCCTATCATCAGCATTAAGGTTGGCAATAAAAATTACTCTGTATTCATAGCAAATTTGGAGATCTCCCTTTCCATTAGATTTCCCAGGAAACATTGTGGTTGCCACCCTGAAGAATTTTGCTGGTAGCAGCACCAGTGCCAACTTTGAGCTTCAGCCTCCTCATGTTCCTCCTATCTCTGCTCTGCAGGGGAGGGATGGACGGGCACCCACAGCAGCCAGAGATGACACTGCTGCTCAGACTGCCTGCCAAAAGCTCCTTGAAACACTGTTGAAGTCAGAACCGTGTCAGGGTTTTCTATTTTGTTTCCTTCCAGCCCCTCTCCAAATGCTCAGAGCACATTTGTTGCAGGTCTGCAGCAGGACCCAGGCCAGTTTTCCAACATCCTGCTGCATGTTGAACCCAGAAGGTTCTGAGAATAGTGAGGGGCACACATGGATGTTGCTGGAGACTTTCATGCCAGCCACACCCTGGTGGCAGAGGTAAGTGGGTGCCACCCAGAGCCCTACCTGTATTTCCCACCCTTTGCTGCTCACTGCCTGCAGGCCCCCAGTTCACTATCCCATTTCTGTTCTGCTGCTTGTAGCTGGCAGCGTGTGCAAGACTCTTTCTTGTGTTGCTCTTTTATCCTCTGGGTTTGTGGACCAAGGTCTGATGTGTTTTCCCCAGGCCCTGCTGTATCTGGTAGCACTCTCATGTCACTGGTGATGTACACAGCAACTGTCTTTGACACACAAATTGCTTCACCCTGCATGAAACTGCAGTAAAACATGCCACCTGAAAGTACTGTGGTCTGTGCAAAATAGAGGGCTAATGGAAAAGTGTCGCAGTACAGCTGGTCTGTAACTGAACAAGATAAAACTGGCCATAACAAATCCAATTTGGCTGACCTAGCTCATTCCAGAAAAGAGGTAACAGAAACCTCACCCAACCCTGCTCACACTTCAATGCAGATATCTCATGGCCAGAGAGGTCTCATCCAATCAGCCATCTGGGCCTGGAAGATTCAAAGCCCCACGAAAAGGGCAGCCATAAGAAACTCACTGCTGTTTGCTGATCTTGATCACTGTGTTGTGCCGTGTGTCTGTCTCCAACCCAACACCCCATGGAACAGAAAGGCATTCCCAAAACAAAGGCAGAAGGTGGACAAAAGCTCATGGCTTCCTCTCAACAGGAGGAGGAACAATGATGGCTTTTGCTTCTATACAGCAATATGTGGTGGAAGGGTACAGAAAAAGGGTGAAGAGGAGCAGGCTAAATTTGCCAGGCTAGAAATGTGGGCAGGGCATATGGGTGAAATGTCCTCCTGGTATTTTCTGTGAAAGTCTCCTTGCTACAACACTCATCTCTCAAGAGAATGGCTTCAGGGAAATGCTTGATTAACAGCTGCTGATGTTTCCAGCACCACCTTTCGTTCTGGGATGGGAGGCTCAGGTGTTTCTGGATAAGGCTGCAGAGTTTTCAGAAATTTTGTCTACTTTAAGGACAGGAGAGACACTGAACAGGCTTGAAAAGAACCCTTGATATATCTGGCCCCTTGGAAAGAAATAACTTGTAGGAAGAGGAGTCAGTAAGCCTGTACTGAAAGAAACCCAGCAGCTGGTACCAGCACAGTGCTATCAGGCATTTCTTTCATCTTTTTAGGTTAAAATTTGTCTGCAGTGACCAATAATGAATATGCTGAAATACATAACAGGAGAAATCTATAGTGAGCCACTGTTGGAGACAGGTGCAAGGTGAGTCATCAAAAGTCTGGTCAAAGCCTTTCATGGAAAGGTCAGCTTACAGGTAGGGGACTAACATTAATTTTGATTTTTTAAAAATTATATGTTAAACCCTAAAAAAATGAACCTATATTTTAAGCTACAAAGAAAAGAATTAACATCTTATTAAAATATGCAAAAATTATAATTTAATTATACAATTATAGTCTAATAGCTCCACTGTATTTTGCATATTAGGGAACAATTGCTTCCTTAAAGCTCATAGCAGAATCATTTACTTGATGCTGGAGAATAAGTTAATTATGGATCTCCTGCCTTTGATTAATGGATTTAATAATCATGTTACAGTAGGATTAACTTATAGTTCATGTGCTTACAGAACTAATGACGAGATGAAAGCAGTGTCAGCACATTGGACTGGCCCCAGAAAAGGCCCTGTCTGGAGATCCCAGGGCTGCCCCAGTCAGCATTTCTGTCAGCATTTCTGGAGGAGCCAGCACATGGCATCAGTCATGCCCATTTGCCACTTACTTCAACAGAATTAAATACTGCTCTCAGGTGAGCTAAGCACCTTGACTGAAGCTCAGTTCTGGATACTATGGGTGGAAAAGTTTTCCCAGGATGGGTACAGTAGCAGGTGATGCACGTACCCACTGGGCACAGCCACCTGAAGCCTGCTCTGAGCCAGTACAACAGGCTGGACATTCTTTAATGCTTCTTTTGGGCACATAATACACGTATAAAATTCCTTGGATAGAAACATATGGAATCAGCCAAGAATTCCTTTTTCTAGGAAGCTCAAGTATAGGTAATTAGTACAGCCTAAGGGACAGAGCACTCTAGCTTCTAAACTTGACTCCAAATGTTTAAGGAGAGGAGCCATTGCAGGACAGAGAAGGTAGAAGGAATCTGTGGAAGATTTTTGTATTTTGCTGTTATTTCTTACAGGACTCCTGTGCCTATGTAGGAACCAGGTCTGCAAGTCTGGCAGGAGCTGAATTGAGAAACCTTCACTTACTTAAAATTCATGTTGACAGAAATAAAAACAGAATAAAGAGCCAAACCATATTTTGACTGGAGGAGCAGTACCTCAAAAATCACCAGCAACAGAATTTCAAATTGCATCAGCCACATACCTTACTTATTATGATACAAAGCAGAACAATGTGATACAAATCAGAAGCTGAGCATAATACAGCCCTGGGCTGCTTGGCCGTGTCCCCTCCCTGCCCATCACCCAGCCTGTGTTTCCACAGGAAGGTGGCAGAACTCCTTGCACTGATCATGGAAATCCTGGGGAAAAGCCAGGGAATTGCTGCACAGCCAGCACAGCCCTTCCTGCTGAGACCAGGGCACGTGAATGCTGCTCCACCTCCCTGTTCAGGACATGATGCTCCAAGGTGTCATTTCCCAGCTGAGGGCAGCCAGCTGCCATCCCTGCAGGGGCTTGGAGCCTCCAGTGCCCTTGCCCTGCCTGGAAGCACAGGGCACAGTGCTGCTTGTCCTGCAGCTCCAGTGCTGACATTCATCCACGGCTGCTTGTGTTTGCTTCTGGAATGTACTCAGGGTTTATTCAAGGTTTGTGCTGAAAAGCAGCACTTTTCCCTACCAAAGCAAGCTGCAGGGATTAGAGACATCCTGAAATAATGCATATTTTATTCCTGAAGCAGATGGAACTACACCTTTAATGTGCCTCTGAAAACCCAGCTGTGCATCCTGCTCTCTCTGCCTGCCCCCTCTGCTCTGACTGCCACACACCCATCCAGGGTGGGAAGCTCTCCTCAGCTTGTCACAGCTGCCTTGATAATGAAAGACATTCAGGGATTTGCCAGGCCACTTCTCCATGTCATACCACAGTGCTTTAACCTCAATTTGTTCCAGGTGATCTCAGGAATCTGTGACCCAGTAACCCTCAGCTGCAGATCATCTGCCAGGTGGCAGCTGTTTAAACGATGCTGCAGGCACTTCCAGTTCCTAATTTAGAGGCTGAACCCACCAAGAATTCCGATTACATGAGTCAGGTAAATGCCAAAAATGCTTTCTAGGATATCTATGATGGGTTTTCTCTGTGCCAGCTCCCAGGAGGTGCTTCCTTGCAATACACTCACTGTTTTTCAGCACTAAGATCCCAGGTTTCCTGAGAGATGCCAGACAAACCTCACCCTGCCAGGGGTGTTGCTGGCCTGCAGCTCCGTCCTGCTTTAGCTCCACTTAGCACATATGGCTTCACCCCTATAGACATTCCTTTACTTCATATGAGCCTCAGCAAATCCTTGTCCTACAGGTACTCCTCCCCTACAGCGGTAACATAAGCTGTACAGACAGATAATTAAATAGACTGTGATGGCTAGACCCTATAATGCAAAACTAAATGTCCAATTAGGACTTGATAAAGAAATGTGAAATAAAGCACATCAAACCAGACAAAATAATCAATTTCCCATTAAATTGAGGTTACTTTTTTTCTGACTCTCAATGTTAAAAGCATCAATTACACACATAATTTACTTGTTTACAGTCTGATTCAAAGTTCAAAGCAAAAACTTGTACATCCAGAATATTAATTATCCCAGTGATCAGAGGAAAAACCCAGTGCCCTGCAGGTGTCTCCAGGCTGGCTTTGAAAGTGTGATCAGTGTAGGCTGGGGGAAATTGCATTTTGTGCTGTTCAGGAGAAGGAAGTGATTTTGAAGCAGCTTGCTACTTAACTCAAAGGAAGAGGCAATCTCAAATGGTGCAGAAGGTACGGGAGCTGAATTTAGGAAAAGTTGTGGAAAATGGGATGAAAAGTAAATATATGACCTCAAAAGATTTGCCTTTGTGAATGCAGCCAGAGGATGCAAGGCTGGTACAACAAAATGCATCCTTCACTGAACTTATGCAAGGACTTACACACCATGAACAAAAAAAAGAGGAGGAAAAGCTGCTTGTGAAAGATTTTAAGTAGGCCACAGGCATGACTTCTCTTTTATTTCAGCTTGTTAACAGTGCCCTAGTTTTATGTGCTTATCTTCAAACTGTGATGCACATAGGATTATTTGAAGACATTTGCTTTGTAGTGGTGATCTCTGATGACCCATGGCATTGAGCCATGCTTGGCTGCAGGTCCACGATGCTTCACTTCCACCCCCACAACCAGGGAGATGAATTGCTGGTGAGCTGCATGTGGTTTGAACAATGGTAACAGCACTCTGTGGGCTACAAAACCTCAGCAGCAGGGCAAAGGAAGGGAGGTTTCTGCCAGGGGATAGGGAGGGCATCTAAATCCTGAGATGGAGAAAGAACAGTACAACACCTGGTGAGAAACGACCCTGCAAAGCCATCTCCCTGAAGTGGTAGCCATATACACACAGGAAAAGCATGGAAAGAAATCCAAGCTACCTCTTTCATCTTCCTTCATAATCTGCAGTGTAAGCACATCTTAAGAAACTAAGGCAAAGAAGTGCTTTGAAAAGATGAGCACAGCATCTAATACTTCAGCAGAATCTCCTTCTGAAGCTGCAGCAGTTTGCTCAGTTTGCCTTTGCTCTAAACCTTTGCACATTGTTCTTAGAGCCAAACATGGACTGCGTTGTTTTGTGTTGCAAAGCACGGACACCCATAAACACCGAGCAGAAAATATATGGAGAGACAAACAATGGGTCCTTTAATGATTACAGGCATCTTTCGTCTTAAACCTGAGAGCTTAAAGTCAATTGCAGCTGACTTGGATTGCCTCTTGCTTGTATAGAGCCTGTAAATAAAGTGTTAATTCAGAGCCCTTAGCTGTGATCAGGAATGCATCACATTTGGTGTTGCACCAAGCTCGAGTCTCTGGAGTACTGGCCAAGCCCCAGGGCACTGGGTTTTGGGTGCTACTATGTACACATATTTATCTTTTTGTGGACATCTCTTTTGCCTGATGTAGGGGAGGGCCACTCATAGCAGTGACTTTTTTGATTTCACACTCCTTGTCCCTGTTCCCCTTTCCACAATAGCTGCAATGTAATGTTTCAGTAGAGCAAGGCTTTGCAAAATTGGCTCAATGAGACATGGAGCAAACAGCTTTTCAGAGAGCTTCAGCTCAGCTGTCAGAAGGGGCAGTTTGGTCTTTGTGCAAGCAGTACTCGCATTCCAAACTGCATTAGGGAAAAGCTGCTGGGGTTTTATGCATTTTTATTATCAGTTCCAGATTAGGAATCTGATACTAATTTTTTCTTAAAGCCAGTGTTCAGAGTACAGCTTATATTCTAAAACAAAGCCAGGATTGTGATGTTTTTCTCTTGCTAGCTTGCTCTTTTTTGGTTTGCTCTTTTTTTTCCTCTCCCTGGCTTTACTCCAAGGACCTTTTCTGCTTTTTGCTACACTCTCGAGATGAAGCACCGGATGGTTACAGCAGTGCTGGTGGCACTGGTACAGGTTTCACAGAGTTTCCCTGCCTTGTACCACCGAGGCTGGTGGAGGCTGCTGAGGGAAGGAGATAGCTGTGGAAAATGTGATTTGGCACTCTGCTCTGAGCCCAAGGACTGTCCAGCCGGGGCTGTGCTGGATCGCTGCGGCTGCTGCCCGGAATGCGGGAACGTGGAAGGTCAGATCTGCGACTTGGACCAGGGCAATCATTTCTATGGGCAGTGTGGGGATCACCTCGAGTGCAGGCTGGATGCCGATGAAGCAAGGTTTGGGGAAGTCCCTGAACCCCAATGTGTGTGCAAATCTCAAGAAAGCATCTGTGGATCTGATGGGAAAACCTATGAAAACATCTGTCAGTTCAACAAGGCTTATGCTGCGAAAAGAAACATCAGCATGAAACATAAAGGGCCATGTGAATCAGGTAATGTGTACAGAGGCACTTCCAAACTGAAAAAAAGAGCTGATTCTTATCTTCAGACGTGTTATTAGCTACTCTAGCCTAACTTCACTACACTAATACTGTGGTTTTGTTACAATTATCATTATTCTGTGATAGTGCTACTTTGTGTTAAAAATGTGTTTCAGCATCTGGTATTAATCTTGTCTTTTATAAGCCTCTATATTAGACTGGTGGATTAAATCTCATGGTAGCTAAAAAGGCATCAATCTACAACGTGAGTCTGTTCTGAATAATCAGAGTATGATTACTATAATCAAAGTATGATTTTTTTTTTCTACAGAAGTTGCATGTGGAGTTGAGAATCAGTAAACAGATAGGATAGTCTGGGAGGAACTGGCAAATGATTATTATTGTAACAGGACTGACTTAAAGAGTGGCGATAGTAAAGCATATCTCAATTATATATATATATATATATATATATATATATCCTGTGTATACATATACACAGACAGGGACATGTGTGCATGTGTGTATCCACCTGTGAGGATACATGGTAAGCAGTGAAGCAGGGGCAATAGAAAAAGATAGGTTTTAATTAACAGCTCTGTTCTTTTTACCAAAAAGCTCCAAATAGTTCAATTCAGAATCATCATAAAATCTAGCTAACCCATGAAAGAGAAATCCAAATAGCAGAACAGAATCAAGCTGAAACAATTTCCCTTAAGGACTCTTAAAGTGCACAGTTGTCTCTGTCCCTTGTTAGTGGAGGGATGCTTAGGTGGGCATACAGGGGACTCCTGCTCCCTGCTC